CTCTCTCTCTCTCTCTCTCTCTCTCTCTCTCTCTTTCTTTCTTTCTTTCTTTCTTTCTTTCTTTCTTTTTTGGCGGTACCAGGGATTGAACTCAGGCCCTTGCGCTTTGCTAGGCAAGCGCTTATTCTACTGAGCTACCTCCCAGGCCCCTCCATTATTTATTCTTTTTTTTTTTTTTTAATCTTTATTTATTTGGTACATAGCATGCAGTGCTGGGGATTGAACCCAGGTCCTTGTGCTTGCCAGGCAGGTGCTTAGACCACCATGCTATCTCCCCAGCCCTGCATTATTTATTCTTTATGTTCATCTTCTTTCTGTTTTACTACATCTAGTGTACCTTTCAGATTTTTCATTTATTTTTATCTATTTATTTTTTTAATGAGCAGAATATATTTATTGAGAGAAAGAAAGCTCCTGTCCCGAGAGAGGGACAGGAGGGGGGGCCCGAGTGGGTCGTTCCTCCAGATTTTTCATTTATTCAAGGAGTAGATTTTGCAAACATTATCCCCAAGTTTGTTTCCATCAAGGCCGAGGGCACACACTTGGCATGGCTTTAGTCTTTATTTTAAATTTTGCTGGGAGGCTAACGTGGGAAGATTGCAAGTTCAAGCCTCCTATGGATAACTTAGCCATGCAGCAAGATCTGTCATAAAATAAAATATTTTTAAAAAGAGTTGGGGAGTGTAACTAAACATGAAGGCCCTGAGTGTAAGCTTTAGTGTCAAAAAGCAAATAAAGGGGCCAGGGAGATGGCTCAGTAGAATAAGCGCTTGCCTAGCAAGCGCAAGGACCTGAGTTCAATCCCCAGTTCCACCAAAAGAAAAAAAAAAAAAAGCAAATAAAAGTAAAACAAAACAAAAATTCCCTTTCTTCTGCAAAATATCATAAGGGGAGGCTTATTTTGGATTTTACAAATATTTCACTAAAATGGTATTTATCATAATGAATGAGGTTCTTGGTGGCATTTAGAATTTATATTCAAGGCTATTGCCTTAGTCCTTGGTCCAGTTCTGACCAAACTGCATTACTGAAAGTGAAAGGTCTCCCGTTTTTCTCACAGATCTCTGGGTCTCAGATGGATGGTTCTTTTACCCCTAAATAGACCCGCGTAGGGTCACTCTTGAGGCAGTGTTCATTGGTATTTAATTGTGGCTGAAATGTCCCATGCAGCTTGGGTGTATCTGTGGGTGGCCTCGGTCTCCTCTATACTGGCTTGTCCCGTAAGGTGGCAAAACCTGGCCTGCCATTGGCGCTCAGGGACCCAACACAGAGAAAGGAAGAGCCACTGCCTCATATTGCTGAGGGTTGGCAGTCCCAGAAGGTCACCTCTATCATATCCTACTGACCAAAGGACGTCACAAGAATCTGAAATTCAAGGGTAGGGAAAGAAATGCTACCTCTTTCTGGGAAGATGTGTGGCCTGTGCCCACAGAGATGGCAGAACTGCAGATGGTCAGGGAACCACGTGTCTACGGGTAGCCACTTCCTCAAACCCTCCTCCTTCATCCTCCATCCTCCTTCCTCTTCCTCCTCTGCTTTTCTATCTTTTTGAGACAACCCTTTTTTTTTTTACGGAACTGGGGATTGAACTCAGGCCCTTGCTCTTGCCAGGCAAGCACTTATTCTACTGAGCCATCTCCCCAGCCCCTTGAACCCACTTTATAGCCCAGGCTAGCCTCAAACTCTCAGCAATCCTCTTGTCTCTGGTGTGTACCATCATGCCCACCTTCTAGCCTTTCTTCTTTCCCTGACTTTCTGTTCTCTTCCTCCTCCTCCTCCTCCTCCTGTTCCTCCTCCTCCTCCTCCTTCTTTTTAACCAGGGGTCAAACTCAGGACTGTGTACTTGCCAGGAAGGTGCTTAAGCTGTGGTTCTCTCTCTCTCTCTCTCTCTCTCTCTCTCTCTCTCTCTCTCTCTCCTATTATTTGTTTTTCTTTTTCATTTCTTTTTTTGGCAAAACTGGGGATTGAACTCAGGCTCAAGTGCTTATTCTACTGAGCCATCTCCCCGGCCCCTCAACCATTATTTGAAGGATGGTTTTTTTATTTTTATTTTTTTTGGGGGGGGAGTGCTGGCTCAGGATGCCTTAAGGGTAGGTCTGGTAAGGCATGAGAATCTGGGGATCGAACCATAGCACCCTGAGCTGGCTGCTTTGCTTCAGCAGGCACTTAAACACCTGAGCTAATGGGTAGGCTCCCCTCAACTATTATTTGGTTCTTACTCATAACCATAAACTTAACTCTGCCATCCAGCTACATTTGGAGGGGAGCAAGGAGAACACGGGAACCAAAGAACTGCAGTAAGAGCAGAGATGATGGGATGTCTCAAACAGGACACAGGGTGCTCTCCTGAGCTAGAGGGATGGTCTGGTCTGCTGGTGGCGACACACGCAAGTCACATGTGTAGAGCAGCTGTCCACAGCTGGGGATCTTCTTGCTGGTCTCACATTCCTGGACCGAAGCACTCTGCAGCCTCCACCGTGTTCATGCCCTTTTACCTTCCAGAGCACCACGTGCTTGCTATCCAGCCACGTGCTCTTGGCAGTGCAGATGCAAACCCGGGACCCGTTTGTGTTTGGCTCAGCATTTGCCGTGGACAAGATGCGTCCTGTGTCCTTCAGGATAAAGTTATCATCAAATGTCTCCCCGTAGGCGGACTTGCCACCAGTGCCACTGCGGTATGTGGAGTCACCACCCTGGCACATAAAACCTGGAATAATTCTGCGAAAGCAGGAAACCCTTATAACCAAATCTTTTTTCAACAGTGCTAAGAGCATGAAGATTTTCTGCTACCATTGGAACTTGGTCTACAGACAGCTTGAAGGAGACTTGGCCCAGGGGCTTGCCATTAGTGGTGATATCGAAGAACGTGGTGCGGTTGACCACGATGGGCAGTGAATGATTAAAAGGAAGGATAGTGGCATCTGCAAAGCCCTCTTCTCTTTCTTATCACTACTTGACACTTGGTCCCAAGAGAACAAGGGCCACCTATTCTTACTCACTAATATATCACTGCTTAGAACTGTGCCTGGCACCTAGAAGGCAGCCATATTTGAGAAAATGAATGAATAGATGAACCAACAGATGGATGGATCAAAGAATGAATGAATACTGGGGTATCAACTTCAGGTTTGCCTATGGTTGTTTTTTTTTTTTTTTTTTTGGCAGAACCGGGGATTGAACTCAGGCCCTTGCGCTTGCCAGGGAAGCGCTTATTCCACTGAGCCATCTCCCCAGCCCCTTGCCTATGGTTTTGAAGAATGGAGAGACAAGGGCTGGTGAGACAGCTCAGCGGACTAAGTGCCTGCTTAGACAAGCGCAGGGACCAAGGCTTGATCCCTGGCACCACATGCCACACCGCCCCCCACCCCCAGGTGTGCTGAGCTAGCCACTGAGACCAGGCGTACTGGCGCACACCTGTAATCCCAGTGCTGGGGAGGCTGCAAGCTGGAGCATCACTATAAATCTAAGCTGTATAGTGAGATCCTATACCAAATACATTGAAAAATAATAATAATAAAAGAATGGAGAGACAGTGAAGGCCATAAAGTGTAGACACCCCTGGGCAAGTGCTGTAGGATTTCTAAGAAACAGAGACCTGAAAGACAGGGCCGGAAGGAGAACTAGGGCGGGAGAAACAGGAAAGAGAAAAGGCAGAGCTCTGAGCCTCATGAAGGATGGTCCAAGAGCTGTCACGAATCTTGTTCTACTCCAGCCTCTCCCAGCCTGGGCCTGGCACACACCAGGGGTGCTTAATGTTTTGAAAGAATGATCATGAATTCTGAGAAGTAAGGAAAACTTTATCCATGAGCTGATTTCTGTCAAAGCTGGGTGCATATTTTTCCTTTTGCTTTAGGCATCAGCATGGGCAGCATGGCAGTGAATTTATTTAAAAGTTTTATATTTTGCTCAGCAAAACACCACAAATGTTTTACATTTGTCTGTTAAAATACTGCATTAACATGTTCATCTTGATCCCTGGGTGTTTTTACAGACCCCTTATTTGGATCCCAAAGTCACTGCCTCCGATTA